TACCTCCCTATCTTCCCTGCTCCTTGTCAACCTCAGGATCCTCATCACATCTGACTCTCGTCAGGCTGCTTCCATCATTGGGAGGAGAAGCCATGCCTCTACACTGGAAAGGCGTCTTCATAGTGTTACACAGACCCATATCCCTGTGGAATGGGTGTGCTTGAGTTTTGAGCCTGAGACTTCAGAATTCCACTGACACAGTTTGTGTTGAGAGTTCATATGACCCTGTACCTCCTTAGTGGAAGAACCAATGTCCTTTGGCATGAAGAAGAATACCAACTCTTCCCAACTGACTGCTGCAGCTGGAAAATTCCTCTTCATGCTGGTATCCATTGCCTTATCTCTGATGCCTATATCTAGTTTTTGGTATCTTGATCTGCATGAAATTGTATCTTTAGAAGGTAGGGAACATTGTCTACATCATGGCGCATGCTATGGTCTGAATGTGTGTGTGGGCCTCTCAGGTTCATCTGTTGAAAGCTAATCACCAAAGTGATGGTATTAGAAGGTGGGGCCTCTGGGAGGTGATTGGGTCAGGAGAACTCCACCCTCAGGAATGGGATTAGTGCCCTTACAAAAGAGGTTCCAGAGAGCTGCCTTGCCCCTTCCAGCATGTGAAGATGCATTGAGAAGACATCACTCATGAGAAAACGGGCTCTCACCAGACACCAAATCAGCAGGTACCCTGTTCTTGGCCTTTCAGGCCTCTAGAATTGTGAGACATTTCTGTTGTTTATAAGCTACCCAGTTTATGGTGTTTTGTTATAGCAGCCCACATGGACTAAGACAGAGGCAATAAATGAAATGCCACATCTCAGGTGTGCCTTTGTGTCTGATAGTGACTGTGGCCTTCTCATTGCCCCAGCAGTTTTCTGAATATCAATAAGTGGGACACTGTAAGAATGTGCAGACCTGCCATGCTTGCAGACAAGTATTTCTTGGAGCTTCCAAACACTTTTCACATGCTTGTACATTGAAAAATATATAAAAATTAAAAAATATTATGTGTGTGTCCTGCTGAAGTAAACAGAAGTTTTGCTCTACTGGGAGATAACTGACCTCCTGCTTTCCAGAGGGCTGAGGGCATCTCTTTGTTGGCAACGTAAACCATTCTTGGCACACTTGTTAGGAACTGCCTAGGGCGAGGGCTATAGTAACACATTATCACAAATTGGGTTCCTTAAAACAAGAGAAACTTATTCTCACAGTTTTGAAGGCTGGAAGTCTGAAATCAAGGTGTTGGCTGTGCTCCTTGCAAAAGTTATAGGGGAAGACCCATCCTTGCCCCTTCCTACTGTGGGTGGCTCCAGGCATTCCTTGGTGTTCCTTGAATTGTAGCTGCATCACTCCAATCTCTGCCTTCGCCTTCACATTGACTCCTTTTGTGTGTGTGTCTGTGTGTCCTCTTCTTATAAGAACACCAATTACTGGATTTGGGTCCAACCTTAAGTCCAAGATGATTTTACCTTAAGATCCTCAACTGATTACATCTGCAAAGATCATGTTTCTAAATAAGATCACATCCTGAGGTTCTGGATGAACATGAATTTGGGAGACATTCTAGTCATCCCACCACACATGTACAGCTTAAAAATTCTCCATCTGGCTTCCCAGAGATGAACAATTTCTTTTTATTATGTTACTTAAATATTCAAACATAAAACTCCCTGTGCTTATGGCTCCTTTGCAAATACAAACCAAAATAAATTTTCCAATTGCACGCAAGCAGAACAGTGAAATGAATATATTTAAAATAAATAGCATTAACTTAATATGGCAGATGACATTTTCTAAGATTAAATTGTCCTTCACTCATATGAGTGCTGTGGTGCACATTCTTTGAAGTCTGGCTTGCCAATATGACTGCTAATTTCTTTCATCACTTTTTCCTCTTCTAACTATTGTGAATTTTGGTTCATACAGCCCTCCACTGATTCTTTCTCTGAATACAAATGTGCCCTCTACTTATTTACTTACACAAATTCATTCTCTCAAATTGCATGGCAACACTAAGTTAGAAGGTGGTGATCAGAAATTCAAAATATTTGTATAGTAATTCTTTAAAGACTATCATCTTTAAACAACCCCCAAAATTAATTTTTTTTCTAGAGAATGTAGACATCTACACGTGGTTCCTGTTTTGAGAAAACTGATGTTTGGCCCTAAATCCTGTGAACTCCTGGCATGGGTTCTCTCTATCCAATTTGCAATAGCATCTTTTCCAGACTAATCTTGAAAAATGCCGTTTAGAAAACCAGAAATGGAGCAGTTGAGCTAAGTTATGGTTAACAAGGGCAGCTCAAGATTCTAGGCTGCATATACATAGGCCTGAAGTAGAAGCTCCCTTTTTACATCATCGGCCATTTCCTGGGATTTTCTAGGCCCAGAACTTCAGTCCTAAGATTTCTCACTCTTCATATCTTATTGACCAACACAACCAAAAGGCAAAGAGCTATCATTGCTTGGCTGCCAGCCACCAGACCAGAATCCAGAGAATGGTAAATTCTTCATTTTTATTTTGGCTTACCTGGATCTAGCCTTTCCCCTAATCTTTGGAACCAATGCCTTTGGTATCTGGGTGGGAATAGGAGGCATGTTCTGCATTTCCATTGTGTCGTGTGTCCAGACCACACCTACCTTCCTCTCTAACAGTCAGCCTCTTTGCCTTTGGTAATGGTCATGAAATGCAGGCTGGGCGGGTTGTATTACCTCATTCCTGGTTGCAGTGATTGTTACAAGGGGCAGGCATGTTACCCAACCCAATCAAAGTCCTGCCCGAAGAGTTTTCTCATTGGAGGTGGAAGAAAAGAGCCCCTTTCCTCTCTGTGATGCCTGGGCAGATGTGAGTCCAGAGGAAACACATTTCTAGTCTCATGGAGAATTCAGTCTGGGAGTTTGAAGTAGAGATGAAAGCCAGAGAAAAAGATCCATGATGGTGCTCCAGTGTGGGCTCCAGAGATCCTAATGCCACTCTACCTTTGTTCTTCCTGAAGTTTAGTTAAATGAGTTCATAAAATTCCTCTTTCTCATGGAAGCCAATTAACTTTGGATGTCTTGCCCTTGGCAACCATCAACTGTGACTGATTCATTTTATTAAAAAAAGATACCTTGTAGTCGACATCTAACCCTCTGTCTGCTTCTAAAAGATGCTGATCCCTGATCATGTCAGTAATGTTGAATCCCATTAGGATCTCTGTTGTGATTTTCCATGGGTGAGGAAGTTTCTGCAGATTTGGATTCCTAGGAATAAAGATCTCATTACATATTGCAGTAGCTCCCTTTGTTCTGGAAACCATGATGGACTTTTGGTGCATCAAACATGAGGCAATATCCCCTATTGTTTTGTGAGTAAAACTGTGCCACAATTAAATCTGCAAAAGTGGCCGGGTGCGGTGGCTCACGCCTGTAATCTGAGCACTCTGGGAGGCCGAGGCAGGAGGATCACTCAAGGTCAGGAGTTTGAGACCAGCTTGAGCAAGAGTGAGACCCTGTCTCTACTAAAAATAGAAATTAATTGGCCAATTAAAATATATAGAAAAAGTTAGCTGGGCATGGTGGTGTGCGCCTGTAGTCCCAGTTACTCGGGAGGCTGAGGCTGAAGGATCACTTGAGCCCAGAAGTTTGAGGTTGCTGTGAGCCTGGCTGACACCACAACACTCTAGCCTGGGGAACAGAGTGAGACTCTGTCTCAAAAAGAAAAAAATCTGCAAAAGTTACAATACCTGAAGTAGCAAGGGATTGGTAGGTTGCTGATTAGAGCCTTGGAGGGAATTTACTCTTCTCTCATTTTCAATCCTCCTGTCCTGGACACCTGTCAACGTCCCTTCTCTACCCTTGACTCCAGGAGGGCAGCACATGGCCCAGGCTAAGTCAGTCGGAACTTAACCTAGTCAAAGCCAGCGAGGCTGTGGTTGGCACTTCTAGGAAAGCAGCATTCTCTCTTCCACACTAGGTTTAAATGTGAGGGGATAGATAACTGCATCGCTGTGGCCAACTCTTGCCTATGAACAGAGCCTGCCTGAAAATGACTAACATCATTGGATCTACTGCCTCAAGCCACACCTGAAGGTTTTTTGTTTTTTGCATTTGTAGGAGCACATAAAATAATAATGCGATAGACTTGACATATGAGAATAGTTAAAACCATGTTCAAGGTACAAATAAGTCACCTCAAAGGACCAGATTACCTATAATTAAAAATCTAGGCTAGGCGCGGTGGCTCACGCCTGTAATCCTAGCACACTGGGAGGCCGAGGTGGGCGGATTGCTCGAGGTCAGGAGTTCAAAACCAGCCTGAGCAAGAGCGAGACCCCGTCTCTACTATAAATAGAAAGAAATTAATTGGCCAACTAACATATAGAAAAAATTAGCCGGGCATGGTGGCGCATGCCTGTAGTCCCAGCTACTCGGGAGGCTGAGGCAGCAGGATTGCTTGAGCCCAGGAGATTGAGGTTGCTGTGAGGCAGGCTGACGCCATGGCACTCACTCTAGCCTGTGCAAAAAAGCGAGACTCTGTCTCAAAAAAAAAAAAAAAAATCTAATGACTGGAGTCTGCATCATTTAAAACAAAGCAGAAATGAGCCTTCCTTCCTCCCTCCTGCTCCCTTTGAATGCCACATACATTGTGTGCTAGACAGCTAAAATAGCTGAAAAATCATCCGTCCTGCCCATTAGACTATCAGAGGCTAGTAGAAACCACATGGCATGCTACTCTGATAATGAGAGTAAGGAGACAAATTGTCATCATCATAGTAGTTGTAACCATTTCAACCTCTTATTAACAGCTCTCAGGTCAGGGGTTGTGCTAGTATGTTGCATAATCACCCTTAATTCTAAAACATATGTATTGTCCTAATTTGGAGTATAGATGAGTGAATTAATATAACAATATGAAGATGGTTTAAAAAGTCACCTAGGGGCACGCATGCGCAAGGCGGGAGCGCCGGGGCGGGCGGGCGGTGCCGGGCGGTCTGGGTTACCTCTCCGCCCCAGCCGAAGACGGCGTGCGCCTCTGCGGTGTGCGGTCTGGGTCGCGGAGGGTGGCGGTGAGGACTGCGCGGGACTGCGGACCGCGTATTGAGCGCGCTGCATGCGCCAGGCGTGAGCCACAAAAAAGGCGGACTTCAAAGAGGATGATGACAGTAACTGCATGGATCATATTTTGTGGTGTGATCAGCATTGGAAAAGATGCCTGCCCCAGGTACCACATATGAAAGAGTAGTTTACAAAAATCCGTCTGAGTACCACTACATGAAAATCTGCCTAGAATTTCAAGATCATGGAGTTGGCCTGAATGCTGCACAGTTCAAACAGCTGCTAATTTCAGCCCCGAAGGACCTTTTTGGAGAGGTTGATTCTGCCTTACCCTTGGATGTCCTAACCTATGAAGAGAAGACCTTGTCAGCCATCTTGAGAATATGTAGCAGTGGTCTTGTCAAATTGTGGAGTTCTTTGACCCTATTAGGATCCTACAAAGGCAAAAAGTGTGCTTTCAGAGTGATTCAGGTTTCACCATTTCTCCTTGCATTATCTGGTAATAGTAGGGAACTAGTATTGGATTGAATAGCCTTCAATTTCAGGAACATTTCTCCGCTCTCTAAAGTATGTTTTGGTGCATGCATGATGTTTGAAGATTTAAGCAGGCTAAAAGCCTCGTTGATGAAATTTGAGAGTGCTGAAGATGTTCCCAATAATTGCCAGCCATCGCCTTTGTTGGGGTGGGCTTCAGAGGAGAGTCTGCCTGAATCCGCCAGTGCTGAACAGGCAGCACTTTAGGCATATGCACATTAGAGTTGGAGACCGGGCTGAACTTAGCAGGGCCTTCACACAGAGGGATGTGGCTACCTTCTCAGAATTAACAGGGGATGTCAATCCTTTGCATTTAAGTGAAGATTTTGCAAAACACACCAAGTTTGGAAAGACAATTGTACATGGAGTTTTGATCAATGGACTCATCTCAGCTCTCCTGGGTACTAAAATGCCGGGACCAGGCTGTGTATTTCTTTCCCAGGAAATTAACTTTCCAGCCCCTTTATATATTGGAGAAGTTGTTTTAGCTTCTGCAGAAGTGAAAAAGTTGAAGCGGTTCATTGCTGTTATTGCAGTGTCATGTTCTGTAATAGAAAGTAAAAAGACTGTTATGGAAGGCTGGGTTAAAGTTATGGTCCCAGAAATCCCCAAATCCTGAGATATGTGATTAAAGATGCAAGTTCAAACAAAAAAAATAAAAATAAAAAAATAAAAAGTCACCTAGATAGTAAGAGGCAGTTGAATTTGAAGCCAAGAGTGCCTGACTGCAAAACCTATGCTCTTTCTACTTTTCCTATGCTTCCTTTTCCTTTTGCAGGGCGTGGCTGAGATTCAGAGCCCACCCCCAGCATACACGGTAAGAGAGATGTCTAGTACTCCAGATTGGTCAGTTTGATGCCCAGGGGAACACCTTCATCAAAATTCCTGGACTCTTGCAGGTCATCTCCCCAATACTGTTGGGTCATTATGGCCCATTCAAAGCATTAATAACCATGATGCTCTGGAGCTTTGGATGGCTCTGCATCTGGTATGGTGCCTTTTGACACATAATACTTAAGACATCTGTGTCCACATCCACAATGTCTAAGGGCTGCCTCCACCGCTCCATTCCTAGTGGACTGTCACAATGGGTTTAATCACAGATATGCCTGCCTCCAAACTTTTTGTGGTGGTAAATACAAAAACAATCCCCGATCTTCATCCCCTGGCCTGCATCCCATTTGCTTCAGCCATAGTCATTTATTCGTCAAAGATACAGGAGTTCTATGGGATATTTGATAGTGACCTACGGTTCACACTCTGGCTTTAGAGAACACACTTGCCTGGCACCCACCACCCACAGCTGTTGATACCGTTTGTATCAACTCAATTCTGAAAAATGCCTCTGCTTAAACATCCATTTGCCTTTGCTTCACACCTTTCTGCTTTATCATCTCATTTCTTATCCTAAAACCCTGATTTTGATGTTTGGACTCAGTTCTTCTTGTTCTTTTTTTCTCAGATCTGACACCTTGTCATATATTGGGTTTTAAAATGGTGGCTTCATCAGAGAAACAGAAAGTAGCACGGTGGTTGTCAGCGGCTACAGGGAGGGGGAGAAGGGGAATTGTTGTTTAAAGGACTTTGAGTTTCAGTTTTGCAAGATAAAAAAGTGCTACAGATCTGCTTCACAGCAATGGGACTTAACACTGCTGAACTGTACACTTAAAAATGGTTAAGATGGTACATTTTATGCTATGCTAGGTATCTTTCACTACAGCTTTAAAAATGTAAAAAAAGAAGAAAAAAATTTTTTTAAGCACCCAGGAAAAAAATGGTGCCTACATCCAGATCTTTTCTAAGAGACTCAAACTGATTTGCTACCATTAGGCACAAATAAGAATTGACTTTAAAGGAAGTTGACATGGTAACATGTAACCACACCAGATCATCTGGCTCAACTTTTATGTAACAACGTTGTGAGTTGTTTTTCAGTTGCCATGGGACCCTAAATTGAAGGTCACGTAACCTGAGCATTCCCGGATGAATCAAGTGTGCAATCGCGGGTGGAACCTAAGAGCTGGGACAGAGGAGCAGGGACTGAATTAAGAAGCAGACACCCAATGGCAAGATCCAGGATCCAATCAGATTGAGCCTTGTTGTCACCCCATCGCAGGATCCAGTCAGATCATGCCTCATTTCCCTATGCTTATAAAACCCAACCCAGCCTCCAGCGTGGGGGAGACAGACTTGAACGTTTCCTCCTGTCTCTTCTCCAGTTGCATCTGGATGTGAGCCCACTTACTGGGGGGTAACAGTTCAGTCCAATTTGGAACCTTGATGTTGGCTACAGCTGTAATCAGAATTCACTCAGTACTTGCATAACCTGTTCCCTGGAGTCACTCTCTTGTATTAGTTAAAAATGTATGTTTTGACCTCTGGATCACCCCAATGACACCTGGATCACTGGTTTTCAAGCTTCAGTGTGCAATAACAATCACAGGTTTATTATAAATACATATTCCTAGACCTATTCAATTAGATATCCTCTGGGACCGAGGCCCAGAAATCTGCATGTTCAGTAAACTCTCCACATTATTCTGAGATGGGCTGTCATTAGATCATGACTTGATAAATTCTGCTTTAGAAGGTATACTGATTTTAGGGAAAGAACCAAATGTTTAATTTTATTTTTTCTCTTACGGCTTGAGCTCAGAGCTTTGTACTTAGTAGGGACTTACATGTGGTTGGGAAAATACAGTTTAAAAAAAAAGTAATTTGCTAGGCTCATTGTCCAAATAAAATACAGTTTGTAGCATGTGGTTTCTTTCAGAATTAATTGTACATTAATATTTGATATTTGAGCAAGCCATATGATAAGGAGCTATAACATGATGCTAGTTCCAAAAAATGTGGCTGTAGTGTTTAGTGTTTTGAAACCCAGGCTTAGATGCTCTGATCTCGTATAGCTCTAAAAAGTCATTTCCTTGTTAAACTTTTTATTCCTCTTCAGCCTCTAAATGGAAATGAAGCATTCCCAGTTTCAACCTGATTTACAACTTTTAATCTATGTTCTTAATGAGGTATTAGAGAACATTTATAATGTATTTCATTGTATAGTCTGTCCACACAAGAATAACTGAGAATATATATTTAAAATCTTATATACTTTAGGATTTAATTTTTCACTTAAAGAAAAAGAAAAGTTCCTTGATCTAGTGAACAAGCAATTTGGAGTTAGTTGTTTCAGGAAGATTCAATTCATAATTTTATTTTTAATAGAATCATTCACATTTATGACATCACAAGGAAGTGCAATGACAGTCTATGAATTTCTACTTAGAAATAATAAAATAATTTTGTCTTCATGTTCTGGAGGATATTTACCTAGCAGATGGGGGCTCGGTAGATGACTAGGAAAACCCTTTCTAACCCTGAGAGCGTGAATTTGCACTGTCAAAGTAATTTCTGATGCACTCAATATTACTTTGTTCCCCACAAAGAACATAGCTTTTAGCCCAAAATTTGCCTGTACAAAGTTCATAATGGTTTTGTCTCTGTGTATTTTAAAAATGACATCATGCTCTAGGAATATAAACATTCAAATTGAAAATCAAAAATGGATCAGCAAGTAACACACTGATAGATTTGGCTTTCAACTTTTCTCCCCCATATTGGGTCTATTAAGATGTCAACAGTAACGCAGTGGTCATCACAATGCTTTGTATAAATACAGATAGGATTTGTGGCATTCCAAAATGTCTTGAGAGGCTTGGAAGGGGAGTTCTGAAGACACAGAGGCTTAGAGCTGAAAGGACCTCAGAGATGGAGCATAAGGACATTTAGGTTACCGAGTTGTTCATGAGGACATAGTGCTAGAGAGATGACTTGATCTTGATCATGGCAGTGCACTTCTCACTGGTTTGAAAGAGGAAAAATTAAACTGTTCTGTCTATTCTGCCTTTAGGTAGCAATGTCCCTAACTGTCCGTTAGTAAACCACCTGGTATGATGTGTACTTGTTTCTTCTTTCTAGGTCAGTTACCCACTGTGGCAGATAGATGCTAGGACTGCCCGCATGTCTCCTTCTTGGTAGTCACACCCTGATTCCCCCCCCCCCCCCCCAGTATGAATTGCTTCTAGGCAACAGAATGCAGCAAAGGTGTCAGGATGTACATGATTACCTTGCATGGGACTGTAAACCATCCTGACAGATTCTGTCCTATAGCTGGCTTGGCTAGACACAGATTAGCTGGGCCCACTGCTTCACAGTCTTCAAAGACTGCAGTCAAGGTATTGGCTGGGGCTTTGGTCTTCTTAGGCTTGAGTAGGGAAGGATCTGCTTCCAGGCTCATGTGGTTGTTGGCAGCATGCAGATCCTTGCAGGCTGTCAGCTTAAGGGCTTCAGTTTCTTGCTGGCCATGGGAGGGAGGGCACTGCCAGTTGCTTGCCATACAGCTCTCTCCATAGATAGTGCACAGCATGGCACCTTGTTTCTTCAAAGCCAGCAAGGGAGCAAGAGACTCTTGGTCATACTGGACACATCTAAAAGATTCAGTTATTTTACCTTGCTGCATCTATTATGGCAAATTTGTACCCCATAATTTATGTTAGAATTCTAAAGCTTATGGGTGTGTTCACCCTGCCAGTTTAAGCTTTTACAGTTTAAGCTTTTTACAATACAAACAGTTTAAGCTTTTTAAATACAAACAGTTTAAGCTTTTTTCCTTAATTGCATAATTATGTGCATCAGGGGGATTATGGAGTATATTGACCCTATTGTGAATTCAAACCCATCTATTGTATAAGCAAGGAACCTGTATAAACTATTAATTTAGTTACCAACCCACTGCTTGGCTTTTTACTAGGCTAGAGTGACTGCCAAAACAATCAGTTTTAATTGTTGGGTAAATCAATTTCACTGCCCTGCTCTCTCCCCACCGTTCTTCCCCCTTGCTTCCAAATTCTGCACAAAATAAGGTAGTATTTAGGCACCAGTGCTCTTGGTGCCCATGGCAGTCTACCTCTGCTTTCAGATGCGTGCCATGTGCTGTCCCTACAATGGCCTGTTTTCTTTTTTGTGTATTTTACTCCCAGTGATGGTTTTGCTGCTTCTTGTCTCTAACAATGATCAGCTTCACAAACCCTTCAATTGAGTCCAAGGGCTTTTCCCAAAGGAACTTGTAACTGGCAGAAACAGCAAAATGGGTATCTGTGTTTCAGAATTAAGCGAAAAACTTTTACCGCAACACCAATTAGAATTTCCTTTAGTTATTATGACATCAGATTTTAGCTTTGATAAAACTGAACAAGCTTTAGACTTTATTGTCAGAGAGTCTCAAGATTTTTTTTTTTTTTTTTGTACATGGAAACTAATGCTGTTTTATTTTAGGTGCATGGCAAAGTGACAGAGTACCAACAGAGGTCACTGCCAAATGCAGCGAAGGCAGTCTGGTTTAGATTTTCCCACTGAGCCTTACCAAGGCCAGGCTTCTCCTGGGAATTATGTGAACTCTTTTATTTGTGCCAGGATTTTTGTAATTTTGCAAGGTAACTTTAACATTATGTGTACTGAGAATTAGGCTAAATAAACTACTGATGAACACAAATCAATTTTAATTAAATCAATGGAAAAGTTGTTATTTATATCCTACTAAGTTTTCCAGTTCCTTCAAAGAATTGTTAACTTTTATATTTTATGATG